TTAAAATTTCAGTTAAACTCTCAGACAAAAGATTTTTTTTGGGGGGGAATTCACATGTAATTGGCAATAGTATGTCAGATGCATTTTTTTAAAAAAAAACAATAGGTTTTTCTGAACAAATACTAACCAAAATTATGACTTCCTAGAAAGTTAAAAATTTAAATTTGTACCTGTGATTGCCACAAAACGTTTATATTTCCGGACAGCTTACTGGAAAGCATAATGTAATGTAGAATTTTATATTTACAACTATACATTCCAGATCGATGTACTCTAGTGGCATTAATGTATTAGATCTCCTTTTCTCTGTATTGTAATTTTTTGCTGTATTTCATACTTATGTTAAACCTGCCAGGCATTGTATTACTAAATTGTAACTATCAAATAGATAATATATTTAATATGGCCAATAAAAATACAAAATTGTTCACAGCTGGCTTGTGGTATCGTTGCATGAGTTGGAGGGGGGGGGGGACAGAGCCTCACATATTCAGTTTGGTGTAGTGGTTAAGTGCATAGACTCTAATCTGGGAGAACCGGGTTTGATTCCCCACTCCTCCACCTGCACCTGGCTGGATGACCTTGGGCAAGCCGTAGTTCTGATAATAGGTGTTCTTGAAAAAGAGCAGTTTCTGTCAGAGCTCTCTCAGCCCCGCCTCCCTCACAGGGTGTCTGTTGTGGGGAGGGGAAGGGAAAGGAGTTTGTAAACCGCTCTGAGACTCCCTTGGGTAGTGTAGGGCGGGGTATAAATCTGATCTCTTCTTCTTCACCTGTGCCATTGTTTTACTAGTACCAGCTCTTTATGTGCTGTTGCTTCTTTAAAATGGCCACGTAAGCAAGCAAGGAGGACTTTGTGGGCAGGAGGCCCTCCCAGCTTCTGTTCAGTTTGATCCTCAACCCACATGTTACATGGGAGCAGTGTTCCCTCTAAGCTGAGTTAGTGTGAGCTAGGCTCACAGTCTTTTAGCCTCCGGCTCACACATTTTTGGTCTTAGCTCAGGAAGGATGGCTCCAGAGAAAACCACTTTATGCAGTAGCCAAATTGCTCGCTCACAACTTCAATGGCAGTAGCTCACAAAGTAGAATTTCTGTTCACAAGACTCCGCAGCTTAGAGGGAGCATTGCATGGGAGAGCCATTAGAGGATCTCTCAACATATTCATTTACTTCATTTATACCCTTTTCTCTCCAGTGGGGACCCAAAGTGGTGGTGGCGTTTCCCTCTTTTCCCTTTTATCCTCTCAACAGCCCCCTGGGAGGTGGCTAGGCGGAGGGTGTGTGTCTGGTCCCAGGTTGCCCAGCCAGCTCCCATGGCGGAGTGGGGGTTCAAACCTGCGTCTCCCAGGTCCTAGTCTAACATTCTAACGACTACACCACACTAGCTGTCATTTAATGTTGAATATGGGCAGGGCTATTCTTGGGCAGGAACGCACAGGAACGGCGTTCCGGCTGGCTTCAGAGTTGGCCACGCTCACTACAGCCAAAACCTCTGCGTGGGTGGCTACAGAGGGAAGGCCTGGAGAGCGACACCCACACCCCGGTGACTCCAAGGCGGGGGGGCCTGGAAGGATTGCGCCGGCCTGTCCAAGGGCTGGCTTACCCAGGCTCCCCGCAGCCGCGGGGCACCCAAGCAAGCCACCGGAAGGCAGTTTAAACTGCCTCCCCTCCAAGGGGGGCGCCTGGGCAAGCCAAGGGAAGGCATGGGGGTATGGCCTAATAGGCTAATGTGCTGCGCTGTCAGGGGGTGTGGCCTAATATGCTAGTGAGTTCCTGCTGTTGGGTGTGGCCTATTATGCTAATGAGTTCCTGCTGGGCTTTTTCTACCAAAAAAGCCCTGAACATGGGTATTCTCAAGGCCAATAGCTGAGAGTATGGACCCGAAAAGTGGCAGGAAAAAAGGGAGGGGGAGTTAAACCTCCCTCCTCAGTGCTGCTCCACTTTTCTTTTTTTAAATCTACTGGGCGATGTGATCACAAATCTCTCCCCGAATGTGGAGTTGGGGGGATTAACCTTTGAGCCTCAGTTCGGCTACAGCCAGACTGCCAGGTTTGTGTGTCTCCCGTAGGGGGCCCCCAACCTTTTTGAGCCTGTGGGCACATTTGGAAGTCTGACACGGCACGGTGGGACGCGGCACCAAAATGGCTGCCGCAGGAGGCGGAGCCAGCCACAAAATGACCGCCGCAGCTTAGCTTCTGTAACAGCGTAGGTCCTTGTGCTGTGGTGGCGGCGGCGGCTGCCAAAGCAGGTAAAAAAATCTACACAGCCAATCAGAAGTGTTGCCGGGCAGAACCACTACCTGGCACCCCCCACTTTGAAGAACCCTTGGTGGACACCGTGGCATCAACAGGCGGCACGATGTCGGGGATCCCTGGCCTACTGTGTTGACATGCGGGACCTGCAGCCAGCTCCAGTGGTCAGAAGCAGCGGGGCAAACGAAACAGGCACAAGCCTATCTCAGCCGGAGGGTTTGCCAAACCCTTGAGCATTCAAAAAGGCAGGAAAGGGGTGCGTGAAAGGGGAAGCTCTTGGAACAGGAGATGCCCTATGCTCAGAAACGGGGGTTCCTGCCTGTCCTAAGCGGGGCAAACGAAACAGGCACACGCCTATCTCAGCCGGAGGTTTGCCAAACCCTTGAGCGTTCAAAAAGGCAGGAAATGGGTGCGTGAAAGGGGAAGGCCTTGGAACAGGAGATGCCCCGTGCTCAGAAACGGGGGTTCCTGCCTGTCCTAGGCAATTGTGCAGATACCAACCCGTAAAAGGAAAACGGGCTTGTTCCTCCTCATACTCTGTGCTACGTAGGCTACTAAAGACAAGGATATACCGGGGAGCCCCCTGTCCTCCGACGCCACTGAGCTACGCTGGAAGCCTTCCTCCAACTTAAGGGGCTCCAGATGATGGAGGGAAGCTCCTTAGGATCGAGGAAAAGCTCCTTGGAGGCTTTGGGGATCCACCTCAGTCTGCATCTGCTCCCCCCGTTTGGTAAACAAACAAAAAAACCACAATTGCATTATTCTATTTCTGCCTCCATCTGGGCGGCCCAGGCTAGCCTGGTCTCATCAGCTCTCGGAAGCTCAGCCGGGTCGGCCCCGGTCAGTACTTGATCATCGGCAATCCTGGTCTGTACTATTCCCCCCCCACACTCCTGGAGCAGAAAAGAGCTGTTTTAAAAGAGACGCTTTCAAGCAGTCAATAAAGTTGCGCTGCGTAGCCTTGTCACTGAGAGCAAAGGACAGAAATGCCATATCAGGGAATAAATCTTATTAGCCACGGACAGGACAGTAAACTCTGTGCGTGTATGTGTGTGTGTGTGTGTGTATAAAAATAGCAGACCATCCCTCTCCAAATAAAAGATGCATTTTCTTTGGGGAAGGGGATGTATCGCCCTGTGAATCCACCTCTGGAATACCTGCCCCAAACAGGAAGTGAATAATTTGGGTTGCCAGGTCGGCCGAGAAATAACTTGGAAATTTAGGGCAGGAGGTGGTGGAGCTTGGGGGGGGATGGAGCTCGGCAGGATGGAGCTCAGCCATAGAATCTACCCTCCAAAGCAACCGTTTGCTCCAAGGAAACTCATCTTGGTCGTCTGGAGATAACTGTTACAGCAGGAAATCTCCAAGGGCCCAGGGGTCATTTCGTAGAGAAAGAGGGGCAGGAGCTCATTAACATAACTCATTAGCATAACTTATTTGCATATGCCACACCCCCTGACATCACCGGAAGTGTGTCAGAAGGGAACACCCACCGCTCAGGCTCCACTGGACTGTTTTGGATTGCTAGCTATTGGGGGGGGGGACGTGCAGATCTGTCCTCGCAGAGGAGGGAGAGCTTGTACCTGAATAAAACCTGGTCTTAAAGGTGCCACTGGACTGTTTTGGACCGGGGGGAGGGGGGGCTCTGCAACTTACCTGGCTGCTTCTTGCTCTGACTAAGGGCTGCTGGGAGCAGGGGGCGGGGCTTGTTGCATGTGCCCGCCCCCTGGGCTCTTTACTGTCGGAGCTCCGTTCCTGTGCGCTCCTGCAGGAAATGACCCCTGCATGGGCCACCTGGAGGTTGGCAACCTGATGAATACTAGTTTGCTACAGTTTTTTATGCCCGCACCCCCAGTCAGGCCATAGAGTGTCGTCTATATGCCTGTGCAGAAGACACTCATAGACCTCTACTGCAGCTGGTCATTGGATGAAGGGAAATGTGGGGCCAAATGTACTCTCAGGCTGCGGGAGCTACCTAGTTAACGGGTGGGGCCAAACTGGGGAGGGGTTGTCGAGGGGGTGGGGCTAAACTACAGCGACTCCCCTTATGGGCAGGGCTGATTTCCTCATTCCAAGCGAGGAGTGGGTGTGTGGCTATCCAGTGGAGGGTGGGGCACGTAAGGACTTGGGGAACCTCCCCATTCAGAGGCAGTCAATCTCTGACTCCCAGAGCCAGGAGTCCACATGGGGGGAAGGCCTCTGCCTCTATGCCCTGTCGTTGGCCATCCAGAGGAACTGGTTGGCCACTGTGCGAGGCAGGATGCTGGACTAGATGGGCTATTGGTCTGATCCAGCAGGGCTCTTCTTCTGTTCTTATGATTTAGTCCCCGCCCCCCCAAGCGCTCAGCCTCTTCCCCTCCACTGCCCATCGCAAGGGGAACTAGTGTCTCAGATACAAGAGACATGGGTTGGGAAATACCTGGAGACTGGGGGGTGGAGCCTAAGGAGGGCGGGGTTTGGGGAGGGGAGGGGCTTCAATGGGGTCTAGTGCCATAGAGTCCACCTACCAAAGCAGCCATTTTCTCCAGGTCTTTGTCGCCTGAAGATCAGCTGTACTAGTGGGAGATCTCAAGCCACTACCTGGAGATTGGGAAGCCTAGACATAGACCACTGAGGCACCACCTGGTCTACTCTGTTCCTCCGATACCACTCATTTCCTGGACAAGGTCCGACATCTCCCCTCTCTGGGACCAGGCAAAGAGGAAGCCGGTGGGAAAATCATGGCAAACCCGAGGCAGCGATCCGGTTCCCGTCACCCATAAAAATGCTTGCCGGTGAACGAACTCATTTCCACACCTTCCCTGGAAGCCTTGTCACTCCTGTGGAAGTGTCGGGACTGCCGACCTTGCCCGTGTTTCAGAAACCTGCACACGGCCTTCCGGTATCGTTCCGACATGATGTTGTACAAGATGGGGTTGACCGAGGCGCCCAGGTAAAAGAGCAGCATTGAGATGAGGTTGAAGTACTGGGTCAGCTCGTAGAGGACGAGGCTGCCTTGGGCGAAAAGGATCCGGCCGACGTGCAACGGCAGCCAGCAGAGCACAAACGCCACCACGACCACTGCTGAGTGAGAGGAAGGGACAGAGTGAAGAAGAAGAGAAGAGATTGGATTTATACCCCGCCCTTCACTACCTGAAGGAGCCTCAGAGCGGCTTACAAACTCCTTTCCCTTCCCCTCCCCACAACAGACACCCTGTGAGGTAAAAGAAGAACAGGAGGAGATTAGATTTATACCCCGCCCTTCACTACCCAAAGGAGTCTCAGAGCGGCTTACAAACTCCTTTCCCTTCCCCTCCCCACAACAGACACCCTGGGAGGTAAAAGAAGAACAGGAGGAGATTGGATTTATACCCCGCCCTTCACTACCCAAGGGAGTCTCAGAGCCGCTCACAGACTCCTTTCCCTTCCCCTCCCCACAACAGACACTCTGTGAGGTAGGTGGGGCTGAGAGAACTCTGACACAAACTGCTCTTTTTCAAGGACAGCTTTTATCAGAACTACGGCTTGCCCAAGGTCACATCAGCAGGTGCAAGTGGAGGAGTGGGGAATCAAACCCGGTTTTCCCAGATTAGAGTCCGCGCACTTAACCACGACACCAAACTGGCTACAAACTGGGACTGCGGCACTGAATTACATTCTGTCTCTGGGCGATTCTGCATTGGCTCTTCCCTCTGCTGTTTTACAAAACCCACGTCAGAACAGAAATTCCCCTCTGCGTTGCATGCCGCTTTCCCTTTCTTTGATCGTCGGGTTTTATGGTACTCTCTTACACTCCATGCCGCTTTCGCTTTCTTTGATCATCGGGTTTTATGGTACCTTCTGCATAGATTTATGGTCATTCAGGGGTGACTTTGCAGTCAGTGTGGCGTTGCCCCCGGGGTATCTGAATGTGGTTTTGAGCGGCACCCTTTTCCTCAATGCTGAGAAAATGTGGAGTGAGCGCCAGATGCAGAATCGCCCTCCGGCAAAGGAAGCGCTGAAACTCAGAAGCTTATACCCTCTCCAGCATCCCTCCTTCAAACTCAGTCACACCAACCTGGGCAGGAGATGTACTCTGTTAAGGCCGTTCCCCTTCATTTCCCATCTCCTTCCTATCCGCCCATTTCCCTTCCTTCCCTTCCACTCTGATTCACTCGGTCTAACAGGAATCTGGCCCCAAACAGGCCGCCACTTACCTAACATTTTGATGGTCTGCTGGTGGTGCTTCTCTCTGGTTGCGGCCTGGTGCCCTTCCAGGCCATGGGCAGTCCTCCAAAGCTTCCTGCATATCAGACCATAGAGCAGCGCCAAGCAAAACACAGGGAGGAAGAAATAGAGCGTGGAAAGCCAGGCCATGGTTTCGAGGAGTCCCGAATGGGCTGCGTGCTCGATGCATCTGCATTCGTTCGTCTCCTCCGGCAGGCTTCCGTTGCGGTGCTCCACGCCAAAGAGGAACCAGATTGGCATGGCGGTCACAGAGGAGCAGACCCAGATGAGGAGAATGAGGCCCCTGGCCCGCCGTCTGGTGATGGCGGCTTTTGCTTTCAGAGGGAAGCAGATGGCGAAATATCTCTCAATGCTCAACGTGGTGATGTGGAGAATGGTGCAGTACGTGCAGGTCTCACTGAGGTAAATGTTAAACTTGCAAAGGAAGTTGCCAAAGATGTACGGGCGGTATTTCCAAATCCTGTACAGATCGGACGGCAAGCCGACAAAGATCAGACTGTCGGACAAGGCCATGCTAGACAGATACATGTTGACCGTCGTGCGCATCTCCTTGTACCGTGTAAAAATGAGTATAATGGTCACGTTCCCGGCAACGCCCAAGAAAAACAAAAGGATGCAGATTACTGTCACGGGCACCAGGACAGGAATGTCAAACAAGGAAAAAGAAGGGTCTTCGTAAGACTCGGTGTCGTTTCCGGCCAAGGCATTCGATGACGAAGAAGCCATTTCCCGCTGGAGCTGCTTCCTTCTTACTAAGCCAGGACAGGAGTTACTCTCTGGTGGAGAGCCACTTATGCTTTGATCATTTCCCAAAAAATTAGTAGAACACCCATATTAAAAAGTTCAGCCTATTTTTTCCCCCGAGACTGAGATCCGATCTTACAAATTAAACCTCCTGCAGAATGTGAAGAGACGGACTCCGGCCATCCCTTTGAAGCTGATGGGGCACAGCTAGGAGATCTCTGTGTTTCTATTGGGGGAAAGGGAGGGAAAGGAATTTGGCATCCAAACTCGGCACAGATTCGATTCGATTCACAGCTCACCCCATGGTAAAATAATAACTCCGACAAAAGGTAAACTAATTCTTCTCCTTTGGCTTCCTGCACTAACAGCCTATCAGAATTCCTAGCGTGCGGCATAAATGTAGATGCAAACCCCTCACCCCCCCCACACACACATCTTTTCACGGAAACATTAACAATTCTCCAAAGTAAAAAACCAACAACACAGAGAGACGCGGGCGCAAAACGACAATCTGGCAGATGCATGTTGAAAAAACATTTTACCTTCCCGCTGAGCATTTTCCACGATTCTTTTGTAAATCTGCAGCCCTCCAAGGATGCGGTGGGCAGTGGAGCCTTCTTGCCCACAGAAAACTCACAGGTAACTGTTGCACTTCCAACATGGATCTTCCCCCCCCCCCAAAAAAAAAGCACACACCACCTCTCTTCACCTGATGAAGTATTGCAGCCGCACATAAAAGCCTTGCCTGAGCGTTGGGAAAGCTTGCTATTCTGAGTGCTTTTCCCTGGTGGTGCGTGATAAATCCAGCAGCATTTTAAAGCCATCCATCAACATTCGTCTGCCATTGAAAATGTGCACTTATCCAACAGCTGGGCCGGCCTCAACTCTTAATCTACCAAGAGCACCCCGTTTCCCAGGAAGCCCAAGCAATTCTTTGATACTGCAGATCTAATTAGGATACCTCAATCAATTAAATGCTTCCAGTGTGTTTTCGCCAGTGGAAACAGCACTTGACGAAGAGGTCCTCCTTCCCGCCAGCCGGGGCGGGCTTCCCTGCAACAGCTGCTGCGGAGCGGAAAGATGCATTTTTAATGGAAAAATGAACGCATGGTCATCCGTGAGGCTCTCTGACTTTGCCGGTCATTGATTTGATCATTAACCAGGTCTGTCCAAACACCCGTAGAGAGGTACACCAAGTAAGAGACTAAGTCCCTGACTAGGCATCTATTTTTGTGAAACCTCTTTTGGTATTGCTGACAGGTCACTTGACAGATGTCCAGAGCCAACACAGCAAAGTGTTGGAGTAGTAGCTGGGAGAACCAAGTTTGAATCCCCATACTGCCACGGAAGCTTGTTGGGCGACCTCTCTTTCGGCATAACTTTCCTCACAGGGTTGTTGTGGGGATAACGTGGGGCTTTCCCACATGCTCATTTTCCTTGCTGATGGGTTCCTAATGCTTCGGAGGAGGTGTGTGTTCCCCCCTGTTCTGCACACGTTTTGCTCCCTCTAGTGGTCGATTCAATATCACATCAGTTTATGTCCGGTATATCTCCCTGCAGATTTAAACTGCAGGTTTTTATGCTGGACATACGGTGATGTGATATCAAATCAACCACTAGAGGGAGCACAGAAATACGCACAGAACAGAAACCCCCCCCCCCCCCCCCCCCCAAAGCAACAGGAATACACAAGTGAAGAAAACAAGAGAGCAGAAAAGCCCACGGAGGCAGGAAGAACAGTCTTGTAACCCACTTTGGTCCTCACGGGGGGGAGCGGACAATAAATATATAAATAAATAAATAGCCACATGATTTCCTTACCTTCTACATAAGAAAATGCAAACCTGAAAGGTAACTAACCAGGGACTTCTCAAAAGGACACACCCTGAACCAGTCTTCCCTCTAAGCTGAGTTAGTGTGAGCTAGCTCACCGTTTTTTAGCCTCTGGCTCACACATTTTTGTCTTAGCTCAGGAAGGATAACTCCAGAGCAAACTAATTTATTCAGTAGCCAAATCGCTCGCTCACAACTTTAATGCCAGTAGCTCACAAAGTGGAATTTTTGCCCACAAGACTCCACAGCTTAGAAGGAGCACTGCCCCGAACCTAAATTAAATGCAGACAGTCCACCAAACCACAGGTTCTGCAAACCAGTTTTAGCACCCAAACCAGTTTGAACATTCAAGCCATGGTTCAGAGCTGCTTCAGTGCTTTCACTTGTCAGCACTTCAGAGCCATTTCTGTCAGAGCTCTCTCAGCCCCACCTACCTCACAGGGTGTCTGTTGTGGGGAGGGGAAGGAAAAGGAGTTTGTAAGCCGCTCTGAGACACCTTCGGGTTGTGAAGGGCGGGGTATAAATCTTCTTCTTTTACCACACAGGGTGTCTGGTTTACTTTGTCTCCCCTCAAGGAGTTTGTAAGCCGCTCTGAGACACCTTCGGGTTGTGAAGGGTGGGGTATAAATCCAATCTCCTCTTCTTCTTCATTTCATAACTTACTTTGTCTCCCCTGGTGCAGCGGCTCCCCCCCCCCCGGAAGGCTCTCTGCTGCACCATGATTCAGGCAAACAGCCGTTTGCAACCTTGCCTCATAACATGTCTTCCAATACTGGCTTGATAGCTAATTGCAAACTTTGGTTTGTCCATTCAGATGTCAGGCCACACCCTTAGTTAAGTTTCATTAAATCCTTTGATTTAGGAGGTGAAATCTGAACTGAGAGATGTCTGGCATGCAAGATTTCCCAAAGAAATAGAATGTTCCAGCTGGCTTTTTTTAAAAAACAGACATGCTGAGCACAGAGGAGGGGTAAAGGATCTCGGCAAAGGTCACCTCTGAAGTCTGTGTCCCACCCCCGGGGGTGGATTAAGGCTCACTGGTGCCCTCAGCACTGACCAGTATAACCAGGGGCGGGGGATCCAACCGCAGAAAATTACATAAAGGAATATATCAGCACTGTTTGACGGCTTCTGGATTATCACTGGGAAGAAAGTTTTAAAATGGATTAGACAACAATGGGCGTTTACGATCACTAAACAGAACCACCATGTTCAGAGGCAGCCTATCTCCGAGTACCATATACTATGAAATATTAACTGGCAGGTAGCTTTGCTTGTGAGGTACACAGGAACAGACTTCGATAGAGCAAAGCAGTTCTGTTCTCGGCCCTTCCTTATACTTCCAGATGTGCATCATTTGGCTCCGGGAAAAAACCAGTGCTGCTGTTCACACACAACAGGGGATGAGGTTCAGCCTGTGAAAATGGGACTCTAAGAAGCTGCCAACAGAATCCAGCTCCTCAAAGCGCAGAACAGCTGGAAGCTGTATAAGGAGAAGATGAACTAAAGCTAGCACTGGCTCCCTCTAGTGGTGGGAGAAGGAATATACAAGTTGGGAGACTAGGAAGGCAAGCAAGATCCGAGAGAAGTGAAAACACACAAAAAATATTTTTCTTCATGTCTATCCTCACCTTTCTCCCCGATGGGGAGCAACAGCAACAAAAAGATGCAACAGAATTGTATAAAAATGGCTTTGGGGATGTGTGAGGAACCCTTTGTGAGTTCAAACTCAATATTGTACACAATGCTCCCTCTAAGCCGTGGAGTCTTGTGAGCAAAAATCCTACTTTGTGAGCTACTGGCATTAAAGTTGTGAGCGAGCGATTCGGCTGCTGCATAAATTAGTTTGCTCTGGAGCCCTCCTTCCTGAGCCAAGACAAAAATCTAAAAACGGGACTCTAAGAAGCTGCCAACCGAATCCAACTCCTCAAAGAGCAGAACTGCTGGAAGCTGTATAAGGAGAAAATGGACTAAAGCTAGCACTGGCTCCCTCTAGTGGTGGGAGAAGGAATATACAAGTTGGGAGACTAGGAAGGCAAGCAAGATCCGAGAGAAGTGAAAACACACAAAAAATATTTTTCTTCATGTCTATCCTCACCTTTCTCCCCGATGGGGAGCAACAGCAACAAAAAGATGCAACAGAATTGTATAAAAATGGCTTTGGGGATGTGTGAGGAACCCTTTGTGAGTTCAAACTCAATATTGTACACAATGCTCCCTCTAAGCAGTGGAGTCTTGTGAGCAAAAATCCTACTTTGTGAGCTACTGGCATTAAAGTTGTGAGCGAGCGATTCGGCTGCTGCATAAATTAGTTTGCTCTGGAGCCCTCCTTCCTGAGCCAAGACAAAAATCTGAGCTGGAGGCTAAAAAACTGTGAGCCGGCTCACACTAACTCAGCTTAGAGGGAACACTGACTGTAAAAATACATGAAAATGGGGGGGGGCACTGAATGTCTAGTAGCCTCCTCAGCTTCTCACAGAGCCATACCTTCTACATGCTCTAACAGTAGGGTTGCCAGCAGGTCTGAAGAAAAATGTCCTGTCCTTTTCAACAGAGGCTTAATGAGATGATATCGAAGGATCGTTTCAGAGGGTACCTCTGCTGGTCTGCAGTGGAGCAGCGAGATTCGAATCCAGGAGCGCCTTAGAGACCGACAAGTTTTTCAGGGTCTACGCGCTCTCGGGAGTCAAAGCTCCCTTCGTTAACCTCCCTGCCACAAAAAGCTTCAACTGGTCATTTCCTCACTTGGAAAATCAAGGGACAGGACATTTTTCTCCAGACCTGCTGGTGACCCTAAGTGGGAGCGAGTCACCTCTGGAATGAACTAAACCCGTTTCTTGAGTTTTCTGCTTCATCTCATGCTTTCAAATGCGTGCACATGCAGATCTTCCTGCTTGCCTGAATATTATGCACGGTTCTAGAAGGTTTCCCCCCTGCTTAAAAAACAGTGTCAAGCTAGTGGCAGCGGCTAGCACACACATCCTAGCTGCTGACTGGGAACTTATGTTTCATCAGAGCAAGGCGGAGCTGGCAGGGATTGGCACCCGAACACATACTGAGCCAGTGCCCCCCCCTCTTGCTGAGCATGCAAAAGAATCCGCACTGCCAACCTCCTGCAGCAGCAGAGAACTCGCAGGACCAGAAATGCGAGTCTAGCAGCTAGAGGCTCAGACCAGGACTGGGCTGACTCAGGTTCAAATCCCTGCAGTCATGAAGCTCTCTGGGTGCCCCGAGACCCGGCCCTCGTTCTCTTGCCTTAACCTGCCTCACAGGGTTGTTGTGAGGATAAACAGGTGGGCGTGAGAACCATCGCGCTGCCCTGAGCTTCTTCTAGGAGACGCAAAGGACAGAGTCCCTCGCTCTCTCTTGGTGCCCCCTGCCGAATTTTGAGAGCAATGAGCTTTGTAGAAAGAGACTGGCGGCTTTCTGTTCTGCAAGCAACTGTGCCGATCGAGCCAGGCCTCGGCCACCCCGGATGCCAGGATGGCTTACGAGAGATGCTCAGCTTCCCAAAAATCTCACAAAAAGCACTTGGGGCTTGGCAGGGCAATGTGTTCCAGAGGGGCAGTCGGTCGCTCTATGCTGGAGTAAAACCTGGTGGGTCTTGCAGGCACCGCTACGGGAGGAGGGAATTCCAAAACGGCAGAGCAGTCAGATGACCGCATGCATCAGCACCTGGACCGTCCCAGAAATAAGACACAAACTCACACGCAAATGAAGCACGCTCTTTCTTAGAAACCCACCAGAAATCAGAAATCGGACACAGCAAAAGCTACGTGCGCCGCGCACTATAATGGCGCTGGACAGTGTGGTCAAGTTGCAGATGACTTATGCCGACCCCGTTAGGTTTTCGAGGCAGAGAGACGTTCAGAGGTGGGCTGCCATTGCCTGCCTCTGCGTCGCAACCCTGGGCTTCCCGTCCAAATACCAACCAGAGCCGACCCTGCTTAGCTTTCAGGATCTGATGAGATCGGGCCAGCCTGGCCCGTGGAGGTCAGGGTGTGCCCTAGAATGACTGTGTTTAAAATTCAGTGGAAAAACAAGAGTGGAATCTGCAATCTCTATGGCCGGAACAAATGTTCTGGATCTACTCAATTCACGGGGAGGGACGCTCGCATCCTGCTCTCTGCGTATCTGGTTTGGCACATGTGCAGTGCACCTTACAGACAGAAACCGTGCTTTCTGAGACTTCGCCGGCCATGGCCTTTCCAAACTAAGGCTCTGGCCACACGGGCCGTTTGGCCCGACACAGGCACCCCTCCCCTCCGGATCAAACGGGCGCAGTCAGACACACACATCTGGCAGGGGTTCCCCAGGCATACTTATCGCGTCACGGGACGACTTGGAGCCGGGTTAAAAAGCCACCACATCACAAATGGTGTTTTTGGTTCCCCGCGCGGTCATCGCGCATGGCTGGATGTCTGAACGCGGGGCAGCACGCGCAGAACGGATCTGGCAGTCTGCACCTGCAGATCTGTTCTGCCGCTAGGGAGGTGTCTTTTAAAAAAAAACAAAAACCCCTGCCTATATGCGCATGTGCATGCATGTGCATGCATGTGCACGCATGTGCAAGAACACGCACATGTGCTCCTATGTGCACATGAATTTTGGAATTTTGGCAGCGTGCTCCGTGGCTGAGGCGCTGCAATAATGTGGATGCTTTACCACGGGTTGTCGCCGTAGGTAACCCGCGGCAGGGTGTGCTGTGTGGTTGATATGCCCCACAACACTTTAAACCGGTTCGATCAGAGGTGGCACCATATCGCGCCAAGCCGCCAGTGTGGACACCGCCTACGTTTACATCCATTAAGAGCTAGAAACATGGTTTTTAAGAAATGGAAAGACTGGGTGCTTCATTTGCAACCGAGAGCTTCTTCCATGCTCGCGCAGTGTGATCCATCACCCATACCGACCAGAACCCTTCTAGGATTATGCCAAGCAAAAACCCCTCTTGATTCTTATGTTTTTCTTCCCCTTTCTGGGGAAGGCTGACTGTCCGGCTGCCTGTAATACCTTCGTAACATAAAGGGGAGCCCAAAATCCTCTCTCCCGTTTGCTCAGAGGTCGGTCTTGATGGACAGGTCTCTCTCTCTCCCCCTCCAAGATGCCGAAGGACGCTTGGAAGAGAAACATTGTCCGTAAACAAACAAACGTACGTACTTCCCACCATTTATTGTAAAACCAACTGGAAAAGGCACAACGGTAGATGGAGGGCGGCATCCCCCAGTGAAGAGGGAGCCTCAGTTCTCTGACCCGCTGGTGTTGCCCCTCTCTTCCTGGACCTCCCTTAAGCCACTCTCGTCGATGTTTTCCAGGGAGGAAGCGTGCTGGAGGGTCAGTTCGGACAGCGCCATAGTCGGAAGCTGGCTTTGCTCCGGGTGCAACCAAGGTTTCAAGTGTGCGCTATGCTCCCGCTTCCAGGTGGGATACTTCAAGCACGCCTTGTGCATCTTCTTCAACATCTGGCCGTAAAGAGAGAGGAGGTTAAAATATATATATATATGCTGAGCTTGGACTGATCTGCATCGCAAAGACCACGGCGACCAAAGAACGTTCCTTTGGAAACGTTTCCCTCTGGCCCTTGGATGGGGAGGCTTTTGAACCCAAGCTACACGGTGGCGGGGCTGTCGCTTAGGAAACAGAAGGCGCGTTTTTGCGTGCAGGAGGGTCCAGTGTTGAACTCCCAGTGCCTCCAGGGGGAGGATCTCCAGGCGGAAGAGCTGTACAGGAGACCCCGGAGACCTGCTACTAGCCAGAGACAATGTTAGCCTGCGCGTACCGGAGGTCTGATTCGGCATAAGGCTGTCTCATGGGATCTGGTGGGAAGCCATTTAGCCCGATCCCTGTCCAAAAGTCAGGGCTAACCAGCCTCTAACGGATTTGAGATGAACACAAGGAAGTACCTGTCCGTTCAACGTGCAATTCAATCGTAAAAGTCACTGCTGGTGGACATAGTGGCGGCCACGGGCACAGATGGCTTCAGAAGGGGATGAGATAGACTCATGGAAGGGAGGGCCCGTTGATGGTCGGAAGCAATCAACCCCGGGGACCCAGGGTTAGAGGGCAACATCAGAGGGAGCCCTTGGCCGCTGTGCCTGGTTTCCGGGTTCTCCAGGGCAACCGGTTGGCATAGCTGGCCATTGGTCTAACCCTACAGGGCTCTTTTTATATCGTCATGTGATTTAAGATGGTGAGGCCGCCAGCCGGATCCACACTACGAATTCAAGCCACTCTAGTCTGTAAACTCATCCATAAGGGCAGGGAGCCCCACAACACCACACCTCGGCATGGCTTTGCCTCTAGTCTACTGAGCAGACGCCCTCTGGCTCCAGCCTCCGTATGCCAGTTCTTCCTGCGGCCAGTGATGCGCAGCTATGCCAGAAGTTTCGCTTATGAGCGACACAACAAAATATCGCAGGGCGTCATGCAGTGCAAAGTTGGCAAGGGGCAGAAGATCTTGAGAACCAAAACGTCCGTTTTAAAAAAACACCCCAGGTTTCTAGCCCTTAAGGCTGCAATAGGATTTCAGTGTCCTTTGGGACTCTTAGCAAAAGCAGAATAAGTTGGGGGGGACGCGGAGTTGTGCATGCAAATTTGTTTATTTATTTATCCATTTAATTTGTATCTCGCCCTCCCTGCCAAGGCAGGCTCAGGGAGGCTTACATAAAACATTAAAACACAAAATCAAATAAAACCACAACAATACACTTTTAAAACACAGCGTAAAGTGCTACTGCTGTTCGTGGGTGACGGCGGACGTTAGCAGTGTCTAGCCGTGACATGTTAATGGCGATGGTAATTTGGGTCTGGCATTGACATGTTGATGACAGTGTTAGTTCAGGGCCAGGGTTTATTAGGGCAGCTCCCTACTTGAAGGCCCTGTGGAACTGCAAAATGTCCTGCAGGGCCCTGATGTCCTCTGGGAGCTCATTCCAACAGTGAGGGGCCACCACTGAAAAGGCCCTGGCCCTCGTCACAGCCAGCCTGGCTTCTCTAGGTCCTGGGAGGGCAAGACAATTTCGGGACCCTGATCTTAGTGCTCTCTGGGGAACATGTGGGGAAAGGCAGTCCCTTAGATAGATAGGCCCCTGACCATATAAGGCTTTAAAGGTAAGAACCAGCGCCTTGAACCAAATTCGGTTTAACTTGCAGAATCTTATTTGACACGGAATCTGGAGTATTTTAGTAACCAAAGCTCCAACTCAGGCTTTGGTTCTGAAGCTAAACATGGATACTATAATGTGGGGGAACCCTGCCCTGGGCCAGAGAAAAATGCTCCCCCCCCCCGACAATCCATTCCCGCTGCATCCAATATGGCACCAGATGACCCGGTGCGACCTTAAAAAAGATTCACCCAGAGAGCAGGCTCACCTTTGGCGCCAGGTACTGCGAGGATTTATTCACAACCCACTTGGGCAGCGACCCTGGGTGAGACGGGAGACAAGAGGAAGAGCTTCACTGACCTGCATTTAAAAATCACAACGTCTCTCTAAAAGCTTCTATGTTCGTAATGGTATCAAACTTACTAAAACTTCAATAAACTTTATTCTATTAAAAAAATCACAACGCCCTCCCAGGCAGGGTGATGTTAGAGACCTGAACGCCCTTTGGGGGCTCCTGCCTTGTGATTTTATCCACTCGACTGTCTCGCGTAACCTTCTGGGCTACTCTTCGGCCACCACGGGGGGGGGGTGGATTTGATTCTCATAAAAAGACGAGGGCAAATTCCTTATTCTTTGACCCATGTTTAGGGACCACTCCGATAGTTTACCGGCTGCTGTGGGACACGACATCCCCAGCGCTGTGCACCCAAGTTGAACACCATTTGGTGAGATGGAGCAAAGCTACATTTGATGCTTGAACTGCCTCACTGGAACTCCAGATAGATTCAGGTGAGTAGCCGTGATGGCCTGAAGCGATAGAACAATGTTTGTGTCCAGTGGCACCAAATCCTGGTAGGGCAGAATTTTTAAAAAGAGATTCAGCATGAAGACCGGCCTCCGTTCTGGTCAAGGGAAAGGCCTGAGGGAGGTCAAAGAGTTGAAATTCCCCTTCGGCAGCACTGCCCTGCAGGCTCACCAGTGGAGACATGGAACTCTTGTGATTCCGAGCAGACAGGCAAGAAATTCAGCGAAAAGGAAAGAATCCGCCAGCTTCTAAAATTCAGTTAAAAACACACACACACACACATTCAAGCACAGCATATTCCCAAGATGCTTTCTTTTCTACTGAATTTCTAGCGTGTCTGCTCGAAATTACTAAAGTCCCGTGTTCTCACTGGTGAGCCTGCAGTACAGTGCTGTCGACGGGGAAATTAAACATTGCAAGCTTGTAATTAAGTGTGCTATGAGCAAACGTTGAAGAAAGAAACAACATGCATGAAATCTGCTACTTTGGCTGTTCGAAGCAGCCACAAAACAGCTGGATACAGGTCAGGGGTGTGGTGTGGAGAAGAAAGGTTACTTCCCTCCTCCCCACTGGCCACTTAGCTGATTAAAAATCACTTCCTTTCAGCTGCTTTAAATCCTGGCGGGGCAAAAGATTTAAACAGAGATTCAGCATGAAGACCAGTGGTCCATTCTGGTCAAGGGAAAGGCCTGAGGGAGGTCAAAGAGTTGAAATTCCCCTTCGGCAGCACTGCCCTGCAGGCTCACCAGTGGAAACATGGAACTCTTGTAATTCCGAGCAGACAGGCAAGAAATTCAGCGAAAAGGAAAGAATCCGCCAGCTTCTAAAATTCAGTTAAAAAAAACCACACGCACATTCAAACACAGCATATTCCCAAGGTGCTTTCTTTTCTACTGAATTTCTAGTGTGTCTGCTCGAAATTACTAAAGTTCCGTGTTCTCACTGGTGAGCCTGCAGTGCAGTGCAGTGCTGTCGAAGGGGAAATTAAACATTGCAAGCTTGCTCTTAAGTGTGCTATGAGCGAACACTGAAGAAAGAAACAACATGCATGAAATCTGACAAAGAGAGCTCTGATGGTCTACAAGCTGAGATGGACTGGCACCTTTACATTGCCGGGGAAATCCCTGGTGGGCCCCTGCCCCAGAGACCCCGTAGCAAGAGGACTCCCGGCAAGGTCTGCTCAGATTGGACCTAGGCGGGGAGCCTTGGCCCCCCCAATGGGATCCCAACAGGCTCATGCTCGGGGCAAAAGATTTAAACAGAGATTCAGCATGAAGACCAGTGGTCCATTCTGGTCAAGGGAAAGGCCTGAGGGAGGTCAAAGAGTTGAAATTCCCCTTCGGCAGCACTGCCCTGCAGGCTCACCAGTGGAAACATGGAACTCTTGTAATTCCGAGCAGACAGGCAAGAAATTCAGCGAAAAGGAAAGAATCCGCCAGCTTCTAAAATTCAGTTAAAAAAAACCACACGCACATTCAAACACAGCATATTCCCAAGGTGCTTTCTTTTCTACTGAATTTCTAGTGTGTCTGCTCGAAATTACTAAAGTTCCGTGTTCTCACTGGTGAGCCTGCAGTGCAGTGCAGTGCTGTCGAAGGGGAAATTAAACATTGCAAGCTTGCTCTTAAGTGTGCTATGAGCGAACACTGAAGAAAGAAACAACATGCATGAAATCTGACAAAGAGAGCTCTGATGGTCTACAAGCTGAGATGGACTGGCACCTTCAAATTGCCGGGGAAATCCCTGGTGGGCCCCTGCCCCAGAGACCCCGTAGCAAGAGGACTCCCGGCAAGGTCTGCTCAGATTGGACCTAGGCGGGGAGCCTTGGCCCCCCCAATGGGATCCCAACAGGCTCATGCTACGGGGAGGTTTGTAAGAACTCCAACCATGACAGCCATTGAGGACAGGCACATTTACAGTTGCCAAGACTCCTGGAGTAAAAGGTCTTTTTAACGGTGGCTCAGTGGTTAAGACGCTGAACTGCAGGCTGGAAGGTCTGTAAAACCACACGCACATTCAAACACAGCATATTCCCAAGGTGCTTTCTTTTCTACTGAATTTCTAGTGTGTCTGCTCGAAATTACTAAAGTTCCGTGTTCTCACTGGTGAGCCTGCAGTGCAGTGCAGTGCTGTCGAAGGGGAAATTAAACATTGCAAGCTTGCTCTTAAGTGTGCTATGAGCGAACACTGAAGAAAGAAACAACATGCATGAAATCTGACAAAGAGAGCTCTGATGGTCTACAAGCTGAGATGGACTGGCACCTTCAAATTGCCGGGGAAATCCCTGGTGGGCTCCTGCCCCAGAGACCCCATAGCAAGGGGACTCCCGGCAAGGTCTGCTCGGATTGGACCTGGGCGGGGAGCCTTGGCTCCCCCAATGGGATCCCAACAGGCTCATGCTGGCAACGAGCGGTTGAAGCTTTGCGCGGCTGGTAAGCCTGGTAGATCACATCCCATTAAATCTCTATTAATGGAACAGGACTCACTCTCTCTCAAGGCAGATGGCAATCCTGGGACTAATATCGTGTAAGAACTCCAACCACGACAGCAATTGAGGACAGGAACATTTAGAGTTGCCAACACTCCTGGAGTAAAAGGTCCTGTCTTTTTAACAGAGGCCTAACGGTGGCTCAGTGGTTAAGACACTGAACAGCAGGCTGGAAGGTCTGTAGTTTGGCAGTTCGAGACCCGAGTGCCGCGTGATGGAGTGAGCTCCTGTCTCCGGCTCTAGCTCCAGCCAACATAGCAGTTCGAAAGCAAGAAATTGCAAGTAGATAAATAGGTACCACTTCGGTGGGAAGGTAACAGCGTTCCGTGCGCCTCGGCGTCTAGTCATGCCGGCCACATGACCACGGAAAAATCTTCAGACAGCGCTGACTCTTCGGCTTGGAAACGGAGATGAGCACCGCCCCGTAGAGTCGGATTCGACTGGCTTTCAAGCACGGGAAACCTTTACCTTTACTGTTTGGCAACGAGCAGTTGAAGCTTTGCACGGATGGTAAGCCTGGTAGATCACATCCCATTAAATCTCAATTAATGGAACAGGACTCTCTCTCTCTCTCTCAAGGCAGATGGCAATCCTGGGACTAATATCTAGGGAAGCATCTTGTCTTGCTAGGAAGGGAGCACTGGTCCTGTCTACACTGTCCTTCTTCAAGAAGGTCCTTTTCACACCCTGACCTGGATAGTCCAGGTAAGCCCGATCTCGTCAGATCTTGGAAGCTAGGCGGGGCTGACTCTGGCAAGTACTTGGAAGGGTGGCCTCTCCGAAAAATGTACCAGGCCCCCAGTACGGGTCGCCAGAAGTCAAACATGACTTCCAGGCAAGCACACAAAACACACACACAAATATTTCTTACAAAGGGGGTCCTTTTCACGATTCAAAGAAGCCCACAGGGCCCACCTGACTTACCTTTCGGGTCCACCTGGGCCAGGTAAGTCAAACTGCAGCTGCTGTTCCCAGTCGGTTGCACCAAGTACCCAGCCCAGAGCGAAACGGCCCGCACCAGGTCCTTGCAGGGAGGGTATTTCTGCAGAGGGGAGGAGGCGAGACAACCAACCGTCAGATTCCATTCTGGTCTGGAGGCAGCACGTGGCAGACAGCTCACCAGGCCACTGAGAGACGGCTACTTGGACATGGATCCAGTGGCGAGCCTCCAACTCCAGCTTCCATGGGGGCCACACAAATAGCCGTGGCGGCTGACCCCACCCATCCGGGAGGGTGGTTGTGTTTTGCCACGGGTTGCTTTCCCCACGGAAAGTCTGGGGATGGTTAAATCCTCTCCATATTCCCCAGCCGCCCACCCACTCAGTCCACCTCCCGCTGCCTCTCTCATCCACCCACCGGGTGCTTGACAGAGAAGTTGACGATCACGTAAGACTTATCCAGGACGTACCAGGACCTCAGCGTCACCACGTCTCTGTTCTTCAGGGGCTTTGGGCACTTCCCTAGCCGAGAAGGAAAGGAAGATGACTCAGCATCGTGCCAAGGAGATCGGGGTTAACATAAATGGACCGCATTTTGGTGCCAACGGTTTCGGCGACTTCGGTGACCAAGCCTGAGACACCTGTGGTTCTGGAGGGGACGGTTTTTGATGCCCGGTGTTGTAGAAGTTTCTTTTCCACCTGCATCCGTATGACTTCTCATTATCCCCAAAGCCCGACAGCCCCCAAGGAGCAGGAAGCCAATCAGGGCAATCCTAATACATGTTTCGTCAGGAATAAGCCCTACTTAATTCAGTGTCAGATAGCTGCCATGGAGGTCTATGTGTATCAATTCACCCCCCTTCTGTCTGCCCGGCAACTGCGCATGCCTCCTGTGTGTCCTGTGTGTATCCTTGTGTCATGCATTCCATTCTATGAACGCTAGCGTACGCTTATCTGCAAGGTTAACAGGTGTGAAGAAGGAGCCGCTTAGCTTAGACTATGATGAGCTGAACCGTGTGATGCTGCAGTTGTTTATCTTCATAGAAACGTTGCTTCTCAGGCTTTTGAGCGCGAAACCAAAAGTCTGCCCGCTCGGCGGGAACCAAGGTTATTGGTTATTGTCTTTTTGAATGTCTTTCATTATCCCTTCCCCGACCCAGCCCAGGTATTCTGGACAGTGGCTTTGTTCCTGCTCTATCGTGGCTTTAATAAAATACTACTTTGCTTAAACGTGTATTGGACTTATAGCTGTGGGGAAGCGGACATTCAGTAGGATTCCCCCCCCCCACGCAAGTAAGCACGCGTGCATTGTGGCTCCACAGACGTTGACCTCCTTTTGTTCTGCTTTCAAAGCAATAGTTGGTTACAGGTTTTAAAAAATGAATTATGACCCCTTTCTGAAAACCCAAGGACCGCACACCCCCACATCTACAAGTTAACTGGTCGGGTAACCATTTCATTTATTTATGTGAAATATTTCTATGCTGGTTTTCTTGCCACGTCCTGGGTGATTTAGCAAAATAAGCATGAAGTCAAACATACAATCACAATCCAATCCGCAAAACACCCATGGAAGACGGCAGACCAGTTTCAACAACAGTTCGAGACAACCAGAAAAGTCACATGAAAGGAAAGCCAGAAGGGAGCATTCTCAATCGCATTCTAGTTAAAACAGAAATATCTTGCATCCTTTGTGGGAGCTGACAGAGGAGGTGTGCTTTCGACATTTGTTCTGGAAGACTATTCCAGAAACCCCTTTTAAAAAAACACCTCTGGTTCTAGTCGCCATCATCCTGGCTTGAAAGAAGGAAGGCGGCTTAGCCTGGCCCTTGTTGGGCTCACGTGGCAACGGACAGCTCCGGACTGGGAAATACCGGGAGATTTTGGGGGCGGAGCCTGAGGACGGTGGGTTCTGGGGAGGGGAGGGGCTTCAGTGGAGTATAATGCTATGCCGGGGTGGCCGAACTTGCTTAACTTAAGAGCCACATAGAATAGACGTCAGATGTTTGAGAGCCACAAGAAGACATGAACAAATGTTACATATTTTTACTGGGAAATATGCAAATTTGCTTTTTATTAACATGAGACGGCCAAAAATAATATCAAAAACGGTAAAAGCAGATTACTGATGATGATATTTATTTGTCCAATGGTATTTGTTTGCTAATGATATTTTGCTTCCCCAGCCGCCCTGCCGGGAGCCACAGAATAGGTGTGAAAGAGCCACAGTTTGGCCACCCTTGTGCTATACAGTTCACCAGCAAAGTGGCCCTTTCCTCCAGGTTAGCTGATCTCTGTCTCCCGGAGGTTGGTTGTAGTCCCAGGAGATCTCCAGCGGAAGGCTGGCAACCCGAGTCCCGACCCCTCTGGCTCCCAGGTCACCCAGGGCTTTAAAGGCGAAACCCGGTCCTTGACAGCCTGGTGGGAACCGGCGGACCTGACCCAAGACCAGCTGCCTGTGACCCCGCTGGTTTTCAGTTCAACCAGTGATGGAGACAAGCAAGGAGCTTTCCATCATGCTGCAAACCTTGCATGCGTTTTCAAGTCTACCCATTCAGCCTTGGGGGCTAGAACCTTTTTTCGCTTCTTCAAATTACAGCACGGATCTGCAGCACGCAGGAATGACATGCCAAACACTGCGTGAGGACTCCCCGAAGCCTGAATAATCAGCCGCAAGGTTGAGAGACACAAAACATGGAAATGGAGTGGACGCTCATCCAGCCAACTGTTGGTGTGCACGCAAGAGGGGAGGGTTGATTTTTGTTGATTTCCCCCCTTGGGAGCAACATTTCAAGGGGGAGCGTTTGAGGGGGCAGTGACAGGGAGGCGGGCAGCAGGGTTGTGCCCACTGGTGGTCATGCTTCAACCAGGAGAGACTTCCAGTGGCCTCCAGGCCATTATACTTTAGATGCCCTCACTCGACAATAATACAGAAACTGTTCAGGGCTTCCAAGCATTCAATCTCTCTCTCACACACACACACACAAAGAAGAGAAGAAGAGATTGGATTTATACCCCGCCCTTCACTATCCAAAGGTGTCTCAAAGCGGCTTACAAACTCCTTTCCCTTCCCCTCCCCACAACAGACACCCTGTGAGGTAGGCGGGGCTGAGAGAGCTCTTGACAGAAACTGCTCTTTTTCAAGAACAGCTCTTATCAGAACTACGGCTTGCCCAAGGTCATCCAGCCAGGTGCAAGTGGAGGCGTGGGGAATCAAACCCGGTTCTCCCAGATTAGAGTCCGCACACTTAACCACTACACCAAAGTAATCCTGCTATCACTGCTGTCTTTCACTTTTTATTCTCCGTCCCATGTCCCCCATTTTATCCACATACCAACCCTGTAATGTTGGTTAAGTGACCAGCCCAGGGGAACTCAGTGGTCTCCATCGCCACATGGGGATTTGAATCCAGGTCTCATCAGCTCGGTAAAGACAGTCATCCTCCTAACAGGGAGGGTGGGAAGTGTGCATGCATGCGTTTATCTGCACACACCTTGCTTTTCTCCCCAGCTGGATTCAAAGTGGCTTAAAGCATGGTTGTCCCCTTCTTCATTTTCCCACAACAGCAGCCCTGTGGGGCAGGCCAGGCTGAGAGATTGTGATGAGCCCAAAGTCACCCAGCAAGCTTCCATGGGAGACGTGGGGCTTTGGATCCCGGTCTCCCAGGACCCTAGTCCAGCACTATGTCCACTGCACCATGCCAGCTCTCTGGAGGTGTGTGTGTGGGGGGGAGATGAAGCTGATAGACAGCAGTTGCCTAAGGCTAGCAAGTTCCTAGCCTAGCAAGACCCAACCCAGGGACTTCTCGATCTGTAGCTCGACCTCTTCGTCTAGCTCTGGGGCTGCCCCCCACTTACATGAATAGTAGCCCACGTCGGCATTGTCGGAGATGCGGGCGATGTCGTGTGTTTCGATGACGTTGGGGTCCCACTTCCTGCGGTAGTCTGCATCGTGCAGAACATCGTATACCGTCGCAGCCGTCACACCCGGCATTTCAACGCGGCACTGTGGAGGGAAGAAGAACGCGGGCATGGGCAAGAAGACCCCGCCCACCAGCAGCATCCTGACCCAAGCGCCCTTGTACAGAGCGGCTGAATTGGGCTTAAGAGCCAGAAGGAACTCCTGAAAGGTGGGGAGAAAGCGTGAGTTCTACCTGCTGAACCACTCAAAGAGGACCAGATTCTCTCTCTTCTCTGTGTCTGGAACATTTTGCCACAAAACAGAAGAAGTAGAAGTAGTAGAAGAGGAGGAAGAAAAGGAAGAGGAATAAGATTTTATACCCTGCCCTTCGCTACCCACAGGAGTCCCAGAGCAGCTTACAAACACCCTCTCTTCCTCTCCCCACAACAGACACCTTGTGAGGTAGTTGGGGCTGAGAGAGCTCTGAGAGAGCTGTGACTGACTCTGTGTCACACCAGCAGCTGCATGTGGAGGAGTGGGGAATCAAACCCGAGTCTTCCAGATTAGAGCCCGCCGCTCTTAACCACCACACCACAGCTGGCTCCCAAGGGAGCAGCTCCCCTCGCCAGCCTGCCAATGCAAAAGCTGGAGGCTCAAAGGGTCCCCACTAGAAGAAGAACAAAGACCCCAATCCACAGTATAAAAGAAGACGGGGGAAGAGGGCAGTGACCGAGTCTAAGGTTGTCAACCTCCAGGTGGCACCGGGAGATCTCCCGCTTTTACAACTGATCTCCAGGCTACAAAGATCAGGTCCCCCTGGAGAAAACAGATGCCTCAGAAGGTGGGCTCTATGGCATTATACCCTGCGGAGGTCCCTCCCCCAAGCTCCTCCCCCAAATCTTCAGGTTTTTCCCATCACAGAGCTGACAGCCCTGAGTTCTAGTGGGATTTTGTGTCTGCTTGCTCCCATATTTGTCCATATACGGGTAGGGTGCAGAACGTACAAATGGCAGCCAGAAAATTATGCACTCGGGCCACAGCAAAACTGGTGTCCAGGAGATGCAAGCAAAATACTTGTCTCTGTCTCTCCCCTCTCCTCGCAGTGCTGCCTGGCATCTGGGAGGTGCAAGCAAAAGCTGCTACCCTCTATGCCCTCTCTGCGCTTGTCGCTGGGCAGACTAACCAAGTACTCCTTCTCTCAAGGGAAGGGAATCCTCATTGACCTAAACAGCAAAGCACTAGAGAAAGGAATTTCGCAGGCACACTGGAGTCTCTGCTTATACAGAATCAGGAAAGCTCTCCCAAGCCAGTGATGCTTCCTTGACATCCTTAAATCATTCCCTCTGTGGCGGCGGGTACAGCCACACTCTCCGGCTTTTCATAAGCTATTTTCAGACATGGTGGCTTTGCTCCGCTTTGGAGACGAAACTGAAATGAGTGGGTTGGGGGTTTTTTTGGAGCATCCATGCAAAGTCATTTCCCTTTGTTGCAATCTTTTCCAGTCCTGGTTTGGTGTGATCCTTTCGAGAATACGGCACTCGAAGCAGGCTTGCGTGCTGTGCGGAAGAGGGGGTGTGCACTTCTGCAGACCTCAACCACACCGGTGCCATCTTCCTTAGCTCAGTCCCCGCCACATCCTCCTTTTTAAAAAGAAGCTGCAATCGACACACTGCCGTAATGTTAGAAGGATCTTTCTACTAGTGTCTGAATTCCTAGCTTTCGTTTCAAAGAAGGGTCTCTAGCTCAGTAGTTTCCAACTTTTTTGAGTATGAGGGCCCATTTTCAACATCAAAAACTTTTGCAGACCTCCCCCCCTGGTGACAGTAGCAGTACTATTAGCATCCACGGATTAAGAAAATACACGACAGAAAGTTCAAAATGACAATGCGTAGTGTGCATATCAATTTGCGGACCCTTTGCAATAACTCCCCAGCCCCCAAGTTGGAAACCGCTGCTCTAGCTCTTTGCATTGCAGATACATGCCTTTCCTCTGATACCTCTGCAAGGAAAGGGAGCAGAAACTTACATTTTAAAATGAAAGCTGGGAATTCAAAGGATCTAGCAAGTAGACTGTTATAATGCTATAACAATATGCCAGTGGCTGATTTTTTAAAAGTCTGGTGGCACAGGTGTGTGAAGCAGCAGAGGTGTTTGGGCTTAGACAAGAAAGATTTTGGGAAAACAACCCATAAGGATGCTGTGATGCCACTGCGGTGGCAATGAAGCCACACGGAGAATCATCACCGCGCGGGAAACAGATTAATATAGAGACATTCTGAATTACATTCAAAACAGTCCCATTTGCACGGATTTAAAAGCTAAGTAATTTTGGGAGGGGGGGTTGCTTAAAGTCAGTCTGGAAAAAAAATAAGCTTGGATCCTGCACTGTCTTTATGTGCCCAGTAGGCATTTTGGCTTGTTGAAGAGGACAGCTTTCACCAATTTCCTCTCTCACTACAGCCCCCTACTTTGACCCACATGATGTTTCAGGTAGAGGGGTCCCCTGACCCATAACAGCACAATTACAGGGGGCAGAGACAGCAGGAACGGGGAGGCAGGGAAATCAGATTTAGGTAGCATAGTTCTGCTTGTGCTGCACAGGATCCAAACCATAGGTAGAATTACTCGTCCTGGAAGCTAGTGGGTTGCATCCGGAATAACTCTATATAGGATCGCACAGTGTCGCTCAAGGTGGGTAGCTGTGTTAGTCTGTCTGTAGCAGTAGAAAAGAGCAAGAGTCCAGTGGCGCCTTCAAGACTAACACAATTGGTGGCAGGGGAGGAGAGGAGCTTTTGTTCTGAAGAAGTGAGCAGTCACTCACCAAAGCTCTGACATAAAGATTCACAAAACTGAGAAACCTGTAGGAGAATACTTCGGCCTTCCAGGGCATTCAATCGGGAACCTCAAAGTAGGGGCTTTATCGCAAAGGAATTTCAGAACCAGACTAGAGCAAAAGATCGCTGAGTTACAAGTGATTACAACACTCAGGACAATGGAACACCCAGGGCTTAACAGAGGTATCGGTTTCTTATCTCACTAAACATGCTAACGTCATTCAGTCCTCGCACCTGTTTGTAAACTCTTTTATTATGCTGTAGGCTAATTTGCTGCTCATCAGCAGTCCTACCAGTTGCCTTCATTCAATCTTAGCTATATTTAGTACTCAGTTACTTATGCATCTTGACTCTAATTAGTCCTTCCTGCCAACACCCTCCCCGCCCTCTACCTATATGCAATAGTCGGTGACTTCAATTTCAGTGTATCTGAAGAAGAATTAAACTTTGTTGGTCTTAAAGGCGCCACTGGATTCAAACAAACCAACGTTTTGTAGAAACATAATCTATCTTCTAGTGTAGACGTTTCTCTCTCAGCTGTGTTGACGGGACTCCACTGTGTTCAATCCCCCCCCACCACCCTTCTGTCCAAAAGTATAAAATGAGGAGTGCTCTGTAATGTTCATCCTCCATCCCAGAATGAGTCGGGAAGGCTCGGGTGCCTAGTAAATCATTGATCAGGTTTGCCAGCTTCCTGGTTGGCTAGGCCAAAGATGACTCAGACCAGTGCCGAACCTGGAAGAAACTTTCCTGTGTTCTCCTCCGGCTGGACGAGCATTAGAAACTCGAACCCCATGTCAAGGAAGTTCCCGCAGCGGTGAAGCCAAACGGGAACTGGAAAGGACTGGACCAGGACGTCCTGTATGCGGACACCTTGTGCTCCACCCGTTTCCTTGGCAAAATCTGCCCAGAGGGTTCCAGTCACCTTTTTCTACACCCTCTTGTACACAAGAAGACCAGCCCATTAAGCCAGGAGTGAGAGGAGCACAGATGCACTCAGAGATACTGCAGCAGAAAGGATTTCTGGGTCAGCCTTCCCATACGCAATGCACCTTGAGCGAAAAGGTGTTGAACCTCGCGAGCGGCAAGGAAGCTGCCGAAAAGCGAGTGCAGTCCGCACTCAGGTTTGGGGGGCGGGAGGGCAGGACCTTGGAGCAAACGCTTCAGCTCTCTGTCATCTGTCCTTCTCAGGAGAACAGCAGGAAAGACGGACGGTACGGCTTCCTTACATGGGGGAAAGGCCAATCTCACAGGGGTTGCTAGAAAGACCATCTACACTCCCTGGAGACTTCAGCGGATTGTTGATTTCTTCACTTCATCGATCCCCTGCCTTTCTCCCCCAATGGGGACCCAGAGCGGCCTGCATTGCTCTCTTCGCCTCTATTGTAGCCTCACAACAACCCTGTGAGCAGTGTTCCCTCTAAGCTGAGTTAGTGTGAGCTAGAGCTCACCGTTTCTTAGCCTCCGGCTCACACATTTTTGTCTTCGCTCAGGAAGGACGGCTCCAGAGCAAACTGATTTACGCAGTAGCTAAATCTCTCGCTCACAACTTTAAGGCCAGTCGCTCACAGAGTAGAATTTTTGCTCACAAGACTCCGCAGCTTAGAGGGAACACTGCCTGTGAGGTAGGTTAGCCTGAGACTGGCCGAAGGTCGCCCCACAAGCTTTCAGCGCCCACCGGGGATCTGAGACAGGGTCTCCCAGATCCTAGCCTGACACTGTAACCACCATGCCACAGTGGGTGCACCCCAAGACAAGTAGCTGGCATCACCCTGTCACATGGAACTCACTGCCACAGGAGGTGGTGGCGGCTACAAGCGTGGACGGCTTCAAAAGGGAATTAGATAGGCATATGGAGCAGAGGTCCATCAGTGGCTATTAGCCACAAGGTATAGATAGGGGCTCTGGGGCAAGTGATGCTCTGTCTTCTTGGTGGCTGGGGGGTCAACAGTGGGAGGGCTTCTAATGTCCTGGCCCCACTGGTGGACCTCCTGATGGCACTGGTATTTCTGGCCACTGTGTGATACAGAGTGTTGGGCTGGATGGGCCTTTGGCCTGATCCAACATTGGCGTCTCTTATGTTCTTATGTTCACCCTCCCCAATTAAGTTGTCCCTGCTGCAATATGCAAAGGACTCCGTGGAGGGCGGGGGTTCCGGAGCAAAAGACCCCACCTGACAACAGCATCCTGGCACCGCCGGTTCTAAAACTGCCCTTTGCTGTCAAGCAAACCTCATGGAGACACTACGCCAGCTTGTTTTTTAAATTGCTCCTCTCGAACAACATGCATACATTTGGGTTGCATGTTTTACCCAGCCCAGACTCGGGGTGGCCTAGGCTAGCCAGATCTTGTCAGATCACGGGAGCTAAGCAGGGTCAGCCCTGGGAGACCACCAAAGAAGTCCAGGGTCACCAGAGGGAGCGGGAGGCAACGGGCAAACCACCTCTGAATGTCTCTTGCCTTGAAAACCCTGCAGTCACCATGAGCCGGCTGCCACTCGATGGCACCTTCGTACACCCCCACCGTGTTTGTACCTGTCCCTTCAGTTCTGTCTTGGAGGCCCTGTTCTGCCTCCCAATTTGTGGAAGAGAGTCAGGGAACAGACAGGAGCAGAGGCTTGGAAGTTGTGACACCCCAGCTCTGGAATGCCCTCTGTTCTGGAAACTCACCGAGAACGGGGTTTGTCGTCTTTCGGGCACTAGGCGAGGACTTTTTCCATTTCCCCATGCTTTGAGGAGGGATTGACTCCAGGGCACTTTCACACATGCTAAATGATGCAGTTTCAATCCACTTCAGCGATCATTTGCGAGTGGGTTTTGTCATTTGGCAAAGCAAAACCCAGTTGCAAAGTGCACTGGCAGTGCGTTAACTCTTGGGCGCTTTCAGACACACTAAATAATGAACTTTCAATCCACTTTCAATGCACTTTGCCACTGGATTTTGCTGTGTGAAACGGGAAACGTGTCCCTAGTGGCAGGGCCATCTTTGGCATTTAGTTCTGCTTTTTATTATCAGCAATTTACCTACTGGTGGCTCAGAGGTTAAGACACGGAGCTGCAGAGTGAGCTCCCGTCTCTGGCCCCAGCTCCTGCCAACCTAGCAGTTTGAAAGCAAGAAATTGCAAGTAGATAAATAGGCACCGCTTCGGTGGGAAGGTAACAGCGTTCCGTGCGCCTCGGCATTTAGTCATGCCGGCCACATGACCACGGAAACATTTTCGGACAGCGCTGGCTCGTTGGCTTGGAAACAGAGATGAACACCGCCCCCTAGAGTCGGATTTGACTAGCAAGGGAAACCTTTACCTTTAATATTTTGTGTCTGTTGGGATTTTATATTTTTACAGTTGTCTTTTACTCAGTTTCTATATCGACTAGTGTTTTAGTACTATAATTTTAAACAGGTTGGGCCCTTGCGATCCTGGAAACTCACTCGCCGACTGAGGGGCATGATGCAAGATGTCGCAAATAAACCAAACTTTGAAAACATGTCCATGTACCCAGGCCATAGGGGTTTTTTGGGTGCTGTGTGGGGTTCAGCCTTTGCCTTCCTCCACTGCTGCCCAAGGGAGGGTCACAGTCAGCACGTGGCACATCCTCTAAACCACATCAACCAAACAATCTTGTTCCGAGGGACAACCCCGAGCACAGATTACAGCCTTCACCCGAACGGAAATGGTGGAGGAAAAATGCACGCTGTAGTCACTGTAACTACCACGATGAATGTGGCAATTCCAGAGAGCAGACGTAATGAGATGTTAAGCACAGTCTCTTGCCCGAGACGCCTCCTCCCCTGTGCCAGAGCACAAGCCTGCGAGTTGTAATCAGTGTCCCCTCCAAGCTGAGTTAGTGTGAGCCAGCTCACAGTTTCTTAGCCTCCGGTGCACACATTTTTGTCTTCGCTCAGGAAGGAGGGCTCCAGAGCAAACTAATTTACGCAGCAGCCAAATTGCTTGCTCACAACTTTAAGGCCAGTCGCTCACAGAGTAGAATTTTTGCTCACAAGACTCCACAGCTTAGAGGGAACATTGGTTGTCATTTCGGTTGTAACTCCAGCTCCCACCTGGAGATTGGCAACTCTAGGACTACTCCTTCAGGGTGGCTATCTTAAGGCCCCCCCCAATCCAAATCGTTCCCTTCTTGTAGAAAGGTAGCCTCACAGGAAAAGGCAGGGCTGAGCTTTGTTACTCCGATTGGGGGGGGGGCTTCAGCCAAGGAAATCTGGGGTCCCCCCTTCCCGGAGGCGCACGTCAAACCAGCCCCGGCCCCGCTGCCCCCTCCCAAGTGGTAGAGTCCCGCCCCGGCTGCCCCACTCGACGACCGCACGAAAGGGTTCGGCAACGGCACCTTGACGCGATGCACGGCGCAGGTCCCCGGGGGCGGCAGCTGCCCCCAGACGGCGACGCCCTCCCGGCTGTAGCGGCACTGCCAGCCCTGCTCCGCCTCGCACTGCGCCCGGAAAGCCCGGAAGGCCGCCTCGTCCGGCAGCTGCACCGGCTCCATGGGGGGGAGAGAGAGGGAGGGAAGGAGACGCCGCCGCCGCCGCCGCCGAGCAGCCGGGCGCACCAGGTGGAGACAACCCAGGCCCGGACCGCCTCCGCCGCGCTGTGCGTCAGAGGGAGGGAGGGAGGGAGGGAGGGAGCGCCCTTGGCCGGCCAACGGAGCGGCAGGTGCGAGCCGGGCCCTCAGCTTGCCCCTCTTGCTTAGTTTCCAACAGGACTGGAAGCCAGGGGGTGCGCATGTCATGCCTGCATTTACATTCAATTAGTCTGGGAAGTTTCTGTGGTGAGGTTCTCACATTGTGATTATGTGCAACGCCCGGGCTTGATTACAAAATCCACTCCGTCATTATCACGGTGCTCCTTTTAGAAGAAGATGATGAAATTGGATTTATACCCAGCTTTTCACTACCTGGAGGAGTCTCAGAGCGGCTTACAATCTCCTTCCCTTCCTTTCCCCACCACAGACACCCTGGGAAGCAGGTGGGGCTGAGAGAGCTCTTTCGAGGACTGCTCCTGAGAGAACAGCTGAGAGAACTTGTAATTGACCCAAGGTCATACCACCAGCTGCATGTGAAGGAGTAGGGAATCAAACCTGGTTCTCCCAGATTAGAGTCTGTACAACCAAACAGAAGCAAGAAGCAGGTATCTTAAGTTGCTCCATAAGAGATACCTACAAAAGAATATCTCCATAAGAGATACCTTAAAAAAAATTGCACTTTAAAGTACAGTAGAATTGTTTTGGCCTGGCTGACAAGGTAACTACAGTTTCTGTTAAGGAGTGTTGAAACCTTTGCACTGATTTTGCATAGTGCTCACCTGGTGATTTATCACTGAACACATCGTGATGCTAAGCTACTGGGACTTCTGTCCTAGTGGGAGTGTATAGTTCACAATGGCTTATTTAAACGTTACGTGGGCAGGCACGAAGAGTTCACCCATGTGACGGTGCAACACCCAGCGTCTCACTGTAACTGAGCAGCTATGTGCGATTCCGCTATGTCTACAACACTAGCACCACGGCAAAAAGCCTCCCTGGCTATGGTACGCCGACATCCTCAACGTGCAAGCAAAAAGCAGCAATGCATCAAGTTTAAATAAGACACTGGAAGGGTGAAGTAGTTTGGTGTCGTGTTTAGGAGCGCGAACTCTAATGTGGTTTGGTGTAGTGGTTAGGAGTCTGGACTAATCAGGGAGAACCGGGTTTGATTCCCCACTCCTGCACATGCAGCTGCTGGGTGACCTTGGGTCAGTCACAAGTTCTCTCAGCTGTTCTCTCAGCAGCAGTTTCTGTCAAGAGCTCTCTCAGTCCCACCTGCCTCACAAGGGTGGCTGTTGTGGGGAGGGGGAGGGAAAGGAGTTTGTAAGCCGCTCTGAGACACTTCTGGGTAGTGAAAGGCGGGGTATAAATCCAATCTCTTCTTCTTCTTCTCTTCCCCTGGAGAGGAAACGGGTGCTTTGGACGGCGGGCTCTGTGGCGCAGTCAGGGTTCCCAGCCTCCAGGCGGGGCCTGGAGATCTCCCGCTTTTACCACCCACCTCCAGCCCGCAGGGATCAGCTTCCCTGGACAAAATGGCTGCTCCGAAGGGTGAACTCGATGGCAGCGTGCCACACTGAGGCTCCTCCCCCTCCCTAAACTCCCTAAAATCCACCACCCCCCACAAGTCTCCAGGTATTTCCCAAACCTGGCAACCTTAGGCACTGTACCCTACCTGAGGTCTCTGTCCTCCCCGGGCTCCACCCTCCGTACCCCCTAGGGCTGCCAGCTTTGGGTTGGGAAATTCCTGGAGATTTGGGGAGGGTGGAGCGGCTGGGGACGGCGGGATTTCAGGAGGAGAGGGACTATAATGCCATAGAGTCCGCCTGCCAAAGTGGCCATTTTCTCCAGGGGAACCGATCACCATTGCCTGGAGAGCAGTTATAACCCCAGGAGATCTCCAGCCACCACCTGGAGGTTGGCAACTGGTGCCCCCACCAGTGTGTGTTTGTGTGTGGGGGAGACGACGACAACCCCAATGAGAAATCAGTATCCACGCAGACCGAAGACTCAATCAACACAATTTATTTTCTACATTCAGTCGGGTTGCCAGCCCTGGTTGGAAAATACCTGGAGATTTTGGGATGTGGGACCTGGGGAGGGGAGAGACCTCAGGCGGATATAATGTCATTCTCCCTCCAGAGCAACCATCCCCCCCGCCCAGGGAACTGTTCGTAGTCATCTGGAGATCAATTGTAGCAGATCTCCAGGTGTCACCTGGAGGTTGGTAACCCTATCCAGGAGGCAAGTTTTTCACTCTGGTGCCTTCCACACAGTGTTTTTCTCTCTACATCTCCCTTTGCACCCCCAACTGCAGTGGTGCGCCCATCCCTGGCTCCACTCCTCAGTCTCTCCCGTAGGATTTGTACAATCTTTCCCAGGGGATAGCAACTTGGGGAGAGGTTAGGGTAAACGGTGGATTCCACTTACCCCCACTACCCTTCATGCATCTGGCAAAGAGAGCTGTGTTTCTCGGAAGCTTATGCCACAATCAAGTTTGTTAGACTTAAAGGTGCTACAGAGCTTTTTACACTTACCCCTCTGTCACACTATTTTATGTCCTCCCATCTTTTTAAATTTTAAATTACTGGCAGTATGCATATCTCTATAATGGTAACGCTACAGTGATATACGAACTACTGATTTTTAAAAATCCCAAAGGAGTCAGAGTGGGGAAAGGTGTGAGAGGAGAGCAAAAGCAAACCCCCACCCCCACCCCGTACATGGCTGGAATAGTCAACACTTGGCAGCTGCATCTTAATAGGCATTAAATGCGCATAAATTCAGGTGGGTAGCCGTGTTGGTCTGAAGAAACAGAACAAAGTCCAGTAATGCCTTGAAGACCAACAAAGTTTAATTATGATTATAAGCTTTCGTTTGCATGCACGCTCCTTCAGATATCCACATGTAGAAAGGATCACACACCTGCCATTCACATATTCAGCTGTTCATCTGCAGCAAGCCCAAGTTTAGATCATTTTATGACACTCTTCCTACAAAGCGATGAGGGTCACATCCACAATTTGTTCTGTGCCCACAAGATGGGAGCTGGTTGTTGCAGCCTGGACACACGCAGGGCCCACCAAACCAGTTAGCTGATCAAACAAAATTGTGTCTGCTGATGCAAAGCAACTGAGCTTTGATATTAATGTGATGCTGCCTGGTAAAGAGATCCAGCTTGTTTTATCTTTCAAGAAGAAGAAGAGATTGAATTTATACCCCACCCTTCACTACCCGGAGTCTCAGAGCGGCTTACAGTCTTCTTTCCCTTCCCCTCCCCACAACAGCCACCCTGTGAGGCAGGTGGGACTGCTGCTGAGAGAATACCCTGTGAGGCAGGTGACAGAAACTGCTGCTGAGAGAACAGCTGAGAGAACTTGTGACAGACCCAAGGTCACCCAGCAGCTGCATGTGCAGGAGTGGGGAATCAAACCCGGTTCTCCCTGATTAGTCCAGACTCCTAACCACTACACCAAACCACATTAGAGTTCGCGCTCCTAAACACGACACCAAACTACTTCACCCTTCCAGTGTCTTATTTAAACTTGATGCATTGCTGCTTTTTGCTTGCACGTTGAGGATGTCGGTGTACCATAGCCAGGGAGGCTTTTTGCCGTGGTGCTAGTGTTGTAGACATAGCGGAATCGCACATAGCTGCTCAGTTACAGTGAGACGCTGGGTGTTGCACCGTCACATGGGTGAACTCTTCGTGCCTGCCCACGTAACGTTTAAATAAGCCATTGTGAACTATACACTCCCACTAGGACAGAAGTCCCAGTAGCTTAGCATCACGATGTGTTCAGTGATAAATCACCAGGTGAGCACTATGCAAAATCAGTGCAAAGGTTTCAACACTCCTTAACAGAAACTGTAGTTACCTTGTCAGCCAGGCCAAAACAATTCTACTGTACTTTAAAGTGCAATTTTTTTTAAGGTATCTCTTATGGAGATATTCTTTTGTAGGTATCTCTTATGGAGCAACTTAAGATACCTGCTTCTTGCTTCTGTTTGGTTGTACAGACTCTAATCTGGGAGAACCAGGTTTGATTCCCTACTCCTTCACATGCAGCTGGTGGTATGACCTTGGGTCAATTACAAGTTCTCTCAGCTGTTCTCTCAGGAGCAGTCCTCGAAAGAGCTCTCTCAGCCCCACCTGCTTCCCAGGGTGTCTGTGGTGGGGAAAGGAAGGGAAGGAGATTGTAAGCCGCTCTGAGACTCCTCCAGGTAGTGAAAGGCTGGGTATAAATCCAATTTCATCATCTTCTTCTAAAAGGAGCACCGTGATAATGACGGAGTGGATTTTGTAATCAAGCCCGGGCGTTGCACATAATCACAATGTGAGAACCTCACCACAGAAACTTCCCAGACTAATTGAATGTAAATGCAGGCATGACATGCGCACCCCCTGGCTTCCAGTCCTGTTGGAAACTAAGCAAGAGGGGCAAGCTGAGGGCAGGTTAAACCAGTTGCTCTGGCGGAGCTATCTCAGTTACTTCCCTAGACAAAGTGCAAACCCACGTGCTAGCTAGCCTGTTTACGGCAGGGAGCCCCACCCTCCTGGAGCTGCAGCTATGATGGAAAAAACTCACATAAGTCATCTTTAGGTATGGGCAGCCTTAGAGGTCTTGTTGGACTGAGGAACAAAGAAGGATTGTTTGCGGTAATGCTGGTTACGACGACTCAGGCCCGTAGCTACCACGGGGCCCATGGGGCCCGGCCTCCTCGTGGTTGTATGGGCCTCCCTCCCTGAGCCTTGGCTCCCCCTCCCCACTGCTGGCCTGTCGGCGGGAGGACAAGAGCAGCACAAGCGGCAGCAGCAGAGGCTGCGAGGCTGGGCCGAGAGATGCTTGCCGCCCAGCCAGCCAGCAGCAGCAGCTAAGCCCAGCCAGGCAAGGCAAAGAGGCAAGAGAACTCCTCGCCTGGCCCGGCGCGCCTGGCTGTGCTCCTGTGTGCCAATGTGCCCACGTGCTGCACCTTCGTGGCCAGCCCAGCCACCGCACACC